GAGGCAAGGATTGAATAGAGATAGTCAACAGTATGTGTCAGAAATTTGATTGAGTTTTTTGAGGACCAAAAAGAATGATGAGAGCAAGAGTGATACACATTGTGTGAACTTTAGTGAAGTCTTTGGCAAGGTTCTGCACAGTAGACTAACTAGTAAAGTTACATCACATGGGAGAGCTTGCCAAATGGGTACAAAATTGGCTTGGCAGTGGGACACAGAGGGTTATGATGGAGGGTAAATGAAGATACACATACCTGTGCAATTATGGATTGTGGAACCTGCTAGGGAATGTAATGGCCTAGTGGTGTTATCACTGGACAATTAATCCAGAGACCCAGATAATGTTCTGGGGACCTGCGTTCAAATCCCGCCATGGCAGATGGTGGAATCTGAATTCAATAAAATATTTGAATTATCTAATGATGAACATGAACTCATTGTTGGGAAAAACCCATCTGGTTCACTAATATCCTTTAGGGAAGGAAACTGCCATCCTTACCTGATCTGGCCTATATGTGACTCCAGACCCACAGCAATGTGGTTGTCTGTGAACTGCATTCTGGGCCATTAGGGATGGGCAATAAATGCTGCCTGGTCAGCGACGCCCTCATCCTGTGAATGAATATAAAAATAGTGAACTGGCCAGTTACATCTTCTTTATTTCTTTTTTCCCCTTTGTTTTATCCCTTAACTGTATCTGTCTTTGTGAAAATGGAGGCTAGATTTAAAGAAGATTGTGTTCAAATCAAAGACACTAATTAGATTATCTATTGTTTAACTTTACTATGCTAAAGTTACTGTATTATTAATTGTTAAATCTCTTGCTTAAGCTATGTACCTGGTTTCTGGTATCAGTTATTCACAAAGTCTGGTACTGGTTATTAAAAAATCTGGTTTTGAACCACTTGTGTCAATTTTGAGGGTCATTGAGTATTTTAATTTTACTGTGTTGGAATTATGTGGATAGGTTGGCTGATATATTTGACTGTCTCTATGTTGTAACAGCTAGAGAGTTGTAGTTTCAAACCTAGTTCCAGGATTGGAGCACATCATCCAAGATACTGACCTGAATATTTCGTGAGGGTCAGAAACCCTGTTTCCATCCTTGATCAGATTAAAAATTACCCAATTGCCTTTCTTTGCTGGAGATTAGGACAAGAGCAACCTTTATAAACCTGTTCAGGAATCTTTGGATCCAACAGCATAGAAGATGATTGTTTTAACAATTAAAACACTGTCTTCTTTCACAGTACTGAGTGCTGTATTCTTCAGTTCAAATGTTCAGCAGACTCCTGAAAATCTAATGTGAGTTGTTAAATGTAATAGATGGGTGAGGTGACTAGAGTGCTAGGTAAATGGATGAGCACTTAATAGTTCAAGAATTTGGAAAAGGTATTTTTGGGGTCCACCAAATGTGTAGCTGCTCACTGATGAATCGGGGCTTCAGTTTAATATTTAAGGTTTTTGCAAAGATTTGTAGCTCGGGTTGTTGGTGAGGTTGTTGACTTGCTTGCCAAGCTGGCTTCTTTTCGTTCAGACGTTTCATCACTGTGCTATGTAACATCATCAGTGAGGTCTCCAATGAAGCGATGTTGTTCTACCCCGCTTGGAATTTGGAAGTCTGGTCTGTTGTGGTGAGTTGTGTCATTTGCGGTTTTGTTCTGTATGGGTTTGTATATGGGGTCCAATTCTATATGCTTGTTGATTGCATTGTGTTGAGAACCATTCCTCTAGGAATTCCCATGTGTGATGATGTTTGGCTTGGGCTACTATGGTTATGTTGTCCCAGTTAAACTGACGGCCTTCGTTGTTCGAGCGTACTTATATTAAGGAAAGTTCGTTGTGTTGTTTTGCTGCTAGCTGATGTTTGTGTATTCTGATGGCTAGTTTCCTTCCTGTCTGTCCAATGTAATGCTTGTGGCAGTTGTTGCATTGCACTTTGTAAACTACATTGGTTCTGCATGCTGTGGGAATGGGGTCTTTAATTCTTGTGAGTGCTTGTCATAGCATGGCTGTGTTCTGACGTGTTGCAGTGCGTGGTGGCCTGTTTAAATAGTGTCCTAACTCAACTTTGTTTGTAGACGTTGGGGTGGTTGCTGTAGAAGTTGAGGATTTAGTCAGTCAAGATTTGCTTTTCTGTATACTGAGGTTTGGAACTCCCCGTTGGTCACACCTTCAACTCTGACATCCAGAAACTGAAGCTGATTGTCGTTTTCTTCTTCTGTCTTGAATTTAATCCTGATGAATACATTGTTGATGTGGTGGTGGGTCTCTTCTAGTTTGGTGCATTTAATGAACGAACTACACAATTAACAAAACTACGCAGGAAAGAGGAAGAGCACCTATACAAAATCTCCGCTATGAACAGATATCCCCGCAACTTCATCTGCAGGTGCCTACTAAATAGACAACAACAAGAGGACACAGTATGCCCTAACACACTGGTCACGCTGCCCTACATCAAGAACATATCAGAGTTGACAACGAGATTCCTATGACCACTAGGAATCATGGTAGCATACAAGCCCACAGCCACGCTATGACAAACACTCACAAGGATTAAAGACCGCATTCCCACAGCATGCAGAACCAATGTAGTTTACAAAGTACCATGCAACAACTGCCACAAGCAGTACATTGGACAGACAGGAAGGAAACTAGCCATCAGAATGCACGAACATCAGCTAGTAGCAGAATGACACAGCGAGCCTTCCCTAACGTCAGTGCACTCGGACAATGAAGGCCGTCAGTTTAACTGGGACAACGTAACTATAGTAGCCCAAGCCAAACATGGACACACACAGGAATTCCAAGAGGCATGGTTCTCAACCCATAATGCAATCAACAAACATAGAATTAGACCCCATATACAAACCCATACAGAACAAAACCGCAAATGACACAACTCACCATAACAAACTGGACAGCTTAGTTAGCCATCAACAACCTCATCCACAACCCGAGCTACAAATCTTTGCAGAAACCTTAAACGCCTAGGGGCACAACACACTAAAACCTGCCCGACAATGGGAAACCTTTGCCAATGAACAACTTCACTTTCTCCATGAATGCCTCAGGAACCAGGTACTACCCAGCACCGTGAAGTACAAACCTCCACTCGATAACCCACAGGCATACAAAATAGCTGAACAGAATGGACGCAGAATGCTACAAGTAATGATTAATGATACCCATAACCAACTCCATAAGTACGAATGGGAAATTCGGCACCAAAAATCACATTTCCTGAACACTACGGACCAGCAATGGACTACAACCCTAGAACAGGCCATCACCATCAAACAACACAGGACCAAAACAAAGAAGAGACGTAAGCTGCAGCAGAAACTTACCAAACTGATCCACCATAAAGACCAGGACAGCAACAAACCAGACACATGGATAAGAAACCTATTCAGTAGACAACTCACAAACTGAGAAAGCTATCCTATTACGTGGACTGAACTATACCGCAAAGATGCGAACAGAACAGACTTTATGGCTGTCCTGGAAACTACATTAAAAGACAACAGACTCATGGACAAAACACAGCAAACCATCCAACAAACTATAGTCCCCACACTAAGCCGAAGGAATGAATGGGACACCCTGAACACATCAGAGAGAAAAGCACTAGAAAAAACTCAAGAAAGACAAGAACATTATAATCCTACCAGTGGACAAAAGATGCGTGACTGTCATTATGAGCAAACCAGACTACATTGAGAAAGCACAGGCACTGCTTGCAGATACAAAGACTTAGCAACAAGTGGCGATAGATCCAACATCGCAGCTATGTAATAGGATCACCCAGACACTGAAGAGACGAAAGGATGCAGGATAGATAACTAAGACGGACTACATGAGAATGAAACCAGAAGGCACGAACACTTCCTACTTCTACGGACTTCCAGAAGTACACAAAGCAGACACCCCCCTTAGTCCCATTGTCTCCTTCCTGGGCACACCTTCACACAAACTGGCCGAGAACCTACAACAAAGACTGGAGCACCCCAAGAATTCCTCAAGAACATAAAAATCAGCGATGACAAGATTATGGTATCCTTTGACCTCGCAGCACTATTCATGTCCAGTGAGCTCCTATTAGCCAAGGAAACACTGGCCACATTACTAGACGAAGCAGGAACGCAGACCAGCAGCTCCATCAGCAATGACAACCTACTCAAACTACTAGACTTGTGCCTCATCACACTCTTCACCTTTAATGGTCAAGTATACAAACAGATCAATGGCACATTCATGGGGTCACCTATCCCGGGAATCATTGCAGAGGCAGTCGTGCACAGACTAGAACACACTACCCTCTCTCTCATCAACCTAAACTGTGGATGACACATTTGTCATCATTAAACGCACCAAACTAGAAGAGACCCACCATTTCATCAACAACATATTCGCTGGGATTAAATTCACAAGAGAAGAAGAAAACAGCAAACAGCTTCCGTTTCTGGACATCAGAGTTGAACGTATGACCAATGGGGAGTTCCAAACCTCGATATACAGGAAAGAACCCGCAGTGACCAAATCCTCAAATTCCACAGCAACCACCCCAATGTCCACAAACAAAGCTGTCTTAGGACACTATTTAAATGGGCCACCACTCGCTGCAACACGCCAGAGCTACGCAGGAAAGAGGAAGAGCACCAATACAAAATCCCCACTATGAACGGATATCCCCGCAACTTCATCCGCAGGTGCCTACTAAATAGACAACACCAAGAAGACACAGTACGCCTTAACTGTGGTATCCTCCAATTAGGTTGTCACAAGCTGCATAACTTTGCTGGCTCCGTTCTCTTCTAACAGCTGTTGTCTGAGGCAGAATTAGATTGTTTACAATTTTGATAGCTTATCGATTATTTCACCGTATAGACTGTAATCTGTGTATCTGAAATTCAGATAAACTTTCTTCCTTTTTAGCTGAACTGTGCTTAGTCGTCGAGCCAACATGCTAATTAATAAAATTAAATATTTTAAAGGTACTTTTCTGACAATGGCAGATGAGCTGGAAAGGTTCCTTGAAGAACAGAAGGCTAAGTTAGCACAAGATAAAATCAGATTAGACCAAGATCCACCGTACATGGAGATGAGAGTAAGTTGACTTTATTTTTTAAATATTGTATGCATTTGATTTAATTTGAGTATTTGAATGAATGCAATGTCAAGTGTAGACAGCATGAATGTTGAAAGGAGCTTTCCCATTTTGGGGAGAATTAAAACTAGGGGACATAATTTACAAATAGTGATTTATGGAGATGAGTAGAATTTTTTTGAGGATTGGGAGTATTTGGAACTCTTCACCAGGGGGTGATGGAGGCAGGGTTTTTGAATGTACTTGAGGTAGAGATAGGTAAATACTTTACAGTAAGGCAGTCAGAGGTTATCAGGGTAGGTCATAATATGGAGTTGTGGTCACAATCAGTTTAGCCATTATTGTATTGAATGCTGAGCAGACTTGAGCTGAATGCCAGTTGCCTCTCCTAAATCATATGCTTGTATGAATGTAAGTTGCAAAGCAAATGGGCCTCCTTGAAGGGAACATATTGAAAATGATGATAAGAATATGCTAGTTTCTTGCTATCTGTTTCTTGAGGATAAAAAAAACTGTAAGGGTGAGATGAGTTGCATCAGTGGGAGTGAGTGGATATGGGTGTTCTTGTGCTGTAGATAGCATTGATGGGACTGTGCAATGGTCGTGGAGGTGGAAAGGGAGGGATAATGGAAGGGTGCAGAGGTTAGTGACATTATTATATGAGATATTGGTATTGGAGGTCACTGAAAGGGTGGCTTACAATCTTTTGGATTTGGAGGCTGATGGATGGCAAGTGAGGATAGCAGATAACCTTCCATAAGGGGCCATAGTGAACTGGATGTGTTTTTACAACAACTGATAATTTTGTAGTCTGTATCAGTGAGTGTAGTTTTCAAATGTAGATTTATTTATTAATGGAATTCAAATTTCACAAGCTGCTGTGGTGACACTTGAAGCCATTCCTCCAGAGAATTAATTCATGTCTCTGGAATACTAATCCAGTGACATTACCATGACACCACTATTTCCTCTAAATATAAAATGAACATAGAACATAGAACAGTACAGCACAGTACATGCCCTTCTGCCCACGATGTTGTGCCAACCTATTATCCTACGCTAAGATCAAACTACCCTGCATACCTTTGTGCCGATCCAAGAGTCGCTTGAATGTCCCTAATGTATCTGACTCCATTACCAGCGCTGGCAGCACATTCCATGCACCCACTATTCTCTGTTAAAGAACCTACCTCTGACATCTCCCCTATACCTTCTTCTAGTCACCTTAAATTTATGCCCCCTCGTAATTGTCATTCCGCCCTGGGAAAAAGTCTCTGGCTATCCACTCTATCTATGCCTGTCTTCATCTTGTACAGTTCTATCAAGTCACCTCTCATCTTTCTTCACTCCAATGAGAAAAGCCCTAGCTCCCTCAATGTTTCCTCATAAGGCCTGCCCTCCAGTCCAGGCAGCATCCTGGTAAATCTCCTCTGCACCCTCTCTAAAGCTTCCACATAATTCCTATAATGAGGCAACCAGAACTGAACACAATATTCCAAGTGTGATCTAACCAGGGTTTTATAGAGCTGCAGCACAACCTCGCGGCTCTTAACATAGAACATAGAACATAGAACATTACAGCGCAGTACTGGCCCTTCGGCCCTCGATGTTGCGCCGACCTGTGAAACCAATCTGAAGCCCATCTAACCTAACCTATTCCATTATCATCCATATGTTTATCCAATGACCATTTAAATGCCCTTAAAGTTGGCGAGTCTACTACTTTTGCAGGCAGGGCATTCCACGCCCTTACTCTTCTCTGAGTAAAGAACCTACCTCTGACATCTGTCCTATATCTATCACCCCTTAATTTAAAGCTATGTCCCCTCATGCTAGCCATCACCATCCAAGCAAAAAGGCTCCCACTGTCCACCCTATCTAATCTCTGATCATCTTGTATGTCTCTATTAAGTCATCTCTTAACCTTCTCTCCAACGAAAACAGCCTCAAGTCCCTCAGCCTTTCCTCCATAAGACCTTCTCTCCATACCAGGCAACATCCTGGTAAATCTCCTCTGCACCCTTTCCAATGCTTCCACATCCTTCCTATAATGCGGTGACCAGAACTGTACGCAATACTCCAAGTGCGGCCGCACCAGAGTTTTGTACAGCTGCAACATAACCTCATGGCTCTGAAACTCAATCCCTCTACCAATAAAACCTAACATACCATACACCTTCTTAACAACGCTATCAACCTGGGTGGCAACTTTCAGTGATCTATGCACATGGACCCCGAGATCCCTCTGTTCCTCCACACTGCCAGGAATCCTGTCATTAACCCTGTAGCTTGCATTCAAATTTGACCTTCCAAAATGAATCACCTCACACTTTTCTGGGGTGAATTCCATCTGCCACTTCTTTGCCCAGCTCTGCATCCTGTCAATCTCCCGTTGCAACCTGGAACAGCCCTCCACACTATCCACAACTCCGCTAAACTTCGTGTCATCGGCAAACTTACTAACCCACCCTTCTACTTCCTCATCCAAGTCACTTATGAAGATCACAAAGAGCAGAGGTCCCAGAACAGATCTCTGCGGAACACCACTGGTCACTGAGCTCCATGCTGAATACTTTCCATCTACTACCACTCTCTGTCTTCTATTGGACAGACAATTATGTGTCCTGACAGCCAAATTTCCCTGAATCCCATGCCTCCTTACTTTCTGAATGAACCTACCATGGGGATCTTATCAAATGCCTTGCTAAAATCCATTTATACCACATCCACTGCTCTACCTTCATCAATGTGTTTTGTCACATCCTCAAAGAATTCAATAAGGCTTATGAGGCATATCCTGCCCCTCACAAAGCCATGCTGATGATTTCTAATCAAACTGTGCTTTTACAAATAATCATAAATACTATCTCTCATAATCCTCTCCTAATAATTTGCACACCACAGAAGTAAGACTGACTGGTCTGTAATTCCCAGGATTATCCCTATTCCCTATCTTGAACAAGGGAATAACATTTGCCACCTTCCAATCATCTGGTACTACTCCAGTGAACAGTGACGACGCAAAGATCATCATCAAAGGTGCAACAATCTCTTCCCTCACTTCCCATAATAACCTTGGGTATATCCCATCTGGTCCAGGGGACTTATCTATCCTCATGTTTTTCAAAATTTCTAGCACATCCTCCTTCCTAACATCAACCAGTTCGAGCATATCAGCCTGTTTGACACTGTCTTCACAAGGTTATTGTCCCTCTCACTGGTGAATACTGAAGCAAAGTATTCATTAAGGACATCCGCTACCTCTTCCGACTCCGTGCACAAGTTCCCTCCACTATCCCTGGTTGGCCCTACCCTCACTGTGGCCATCCTCTTGTTCCTCACGTAAGTATAGAATGCCTTGGGGTTTTCCTTAATTCTACCAGCCAAGGCTTTTTTATACTCCCCTTCTAGCTCTCCTAAATCCATTCTTCAGTTCCTTCCTGGCTACCTTGTAGCCCTCTAGTGCCCTCCACATTGTGCCTAAAGTTCATGTACAGAGTCAATTTCAAAACTATGGAAGTTTAAGACCTCCATATACTGTAAACTTATGACACTGCTCCTTGTCACCTCCTAACAGTGAACAAAAAATGCATGCACAATTTGATAAGTGATAACTTGAATTTAATTTGGAATGTCCTTTTCAACAGTTTTTACATGCTAGTAAGATCAATTTGTAACCTTTTCTTGCTCTCATTTTTCATAGAGTGTACATTATCCCAGAGTAAATTTCTGCATAAAATTCAATAGGAATTCTATTCAGCATAAAATTGTACAGATTATTTCTGGACTTCTTTGAGAAATAGAATCCCATATCCACTCCTTCCACAAGAACTAGTACTTTTTGAAAAAAACCGTTTTATTTTTGTTGCCATCAAGTGTTATGAAACCAGGTACACAAGAATACACACCAGAAACCGTGTGGAGCATCTCTGAAAATGACTAGTTTCACGTTCTTGGGAATAGCTATGGTTGGGACTTTAATGCCCCTATTTATCCAAATGTAATTGTTTTCATGCTCCATGTCAAATTTTATTTGTCTTTTTACAGCAGGTTTACTCAGTAGCGAAGATAACTCGCTAGAGATTGCATCAGTGCTTATAATAATTAGTGTGAGTTTTAAACATGGAAATAAAATTCTTAGTGATCTCAGTACATTGTCAGATTGAAAGTATTTTGTTCTTTTAATATTCATTAGTCCTGCACTGGACTTCACTACTTAGTGAATCAAATAACAAATAACTAATCTTTCCTACCTACTGTCAAAGTATAAGCTCTGTCTAATACTGCATGTTGAAGGACATCACAACCAAAACTTCTAGTGACTAAAATGATTTGATTGGACTTATCATTATCTTCACCCTCTTTCTCTAAATTCTTTTCATCATGAAAGATAGAATCTAGGAGCATGAGTAAGCCTTTTGACCTGCTCCGTGATTCAGTATGATCATGGATGATCCTGTGTCTCAATGCCATGTTCCTGCTTTCTACTTTTAAATTTATAAAAACTACTCTTTCTTGAATTTATTCAGAGTTGGTTTCCACAGCTGTTTGTGGTAGAAAATACCACAGATTCACTACCCTTTGGGTGACAACATTTTTTCGTTGTATCAGTCCTAAATTGCCTACTAATGCTGTATTTTTAAAACTTTACACTGAAATTAGAGAGCTGTTTTAAAACCATGTGTTTCAAAGAGTGACTGAAATTTGGAAAGCCAGTAAGCTGACATAGCAAGGTGTGGAGCTGGATAAACATAGCAGGCCAGACAGCATCAGAGGAGCAGGAAAGCTGACATTTTGAGTCTGGACCCTTCTTCAGAAATGGGGAAGGGGAAGGGGGTTCTGAAATAAATAGAGAGAAGGGAAGGCAATGATAGAAGGTGGATAGTGGAGGTGATATGATAGGTGGAGAGAGAAGACAGACAGGTCAAGGAGGCGGGGATGAAGCCAGTAAAGGTGAGTGTAGGTAGGGAGTTGGGATGGGGGTTGGTCAGTGAGGAGGG